TAGTAGATAGAAAGTACCCGGAAAGAGGGAAAAGGGGGGGGGGGGTGCAGAAAAGAGAGAGGAGAAAAATAATAATTAAAGAAAGGATTTGTTTGGGGGACAGCCTGAGAGATCTGGTAGCACAGAAGGGACTGTCTCTTCTTGTCTCTTTATATAGAGAATCTACAGTGTTGCACACCCCGTGCTTGGCTACCTTTTGATCCCCTCTTTGCACAGATGTATTGGCTAGGCAAGGGGAAGGTCTTGGAAAAATGAGCCTGCCGTATTTAGTAGCCTAAACAATGGTTCATCCCTGTGCTTTGACTGCTGACCACTCAGAAAGGAGTGCACAAAGGCACCCGGATCTGGAGCCCGCTCTCTGCAGGGTCCGATGACTGTCCTAATTTACAACAGCAGGTAACAGGCCCCCACTGAGTCTCACAGCGAAGAGGTCAGTGTAGGAACCCCATGTGTGGCTCTGTGATGCATTGCAGGGGACAAACTAGGCCATGCGCCTTAATTGACATTTGTTTTTATCCTGAAGTTATTTGCAACCGCTTGACCCAGTTGCCAAATGGTGTCAGGCTGTGGTTTTGCAGGCTGGCAATTCAAAGCGCTGGCAAGACGTGCGTGGGAAGGCTTGGACAGCGCCCTCCCACCGTGAGCCAAATCAACCCCTGGGGTAACACGATTTGAGTTAAATAGATTCTCCAGGGAGAATCTGAAATTATGTCATTGCTGTCAGTTCCTGAATTATCCAATCAACAAATTCACCGCCATTATGGGGGAATTTTTTTAGGCTTGTCTTAATCAGGATCATCGCTCAGCAATGAAAAGATTATATATCAGCAAACTAGGAGATCCTCGTTTGCAAAGCAAATAGATATTGTTTTGGAGGTACAGCAAGTGGCAGCCAGGGCAGAAACAACTCCTTTTCCCTTATTTTAAAGGAGCAGACAAAGCGTAAGGCAGGGAGAAGTGAGCGATCATCTGTGCACTCACGGATCAATTTTGGAGCTGTATTACCTCTCGCAAACAAGCTAAGGATTTTACTCGGTGCAGCATGACAGAAGAGAAAACACTGCAAAGGATTAGCATGGTTTCAAGTTTTCACTCTGTCTGCTTTCTTCAGCTGAGTAGCCGAGTCTTAGCTTTGATATGATAAAATCAAACCTAGGTGTCTGGGCTGAGGAATATTAACCTTCACCTTTAGATAAAGAGCAGGTACCTGGCAATGTCTATATCAGCAGCCTCGCTTACCGGGCCAGTCAAGCGAGAGAACAGTTTGTTTGCAAGATTTACAGTTCCTTCTTACTGTTGTGCAAGCAGATGTCTCTGAAGACGATAGACTATAGTTCAGAGATCATGTGACTCAGGGTGAACTGATTCTGCAAGTTTTAATTAAAATGGCCAGCATCCACATTTTGTTTTCTTTATAAACATTTGCAGCGTATCAGTAGCCAATCTAAATGTCTCACCAGATGAGTACATACTGTACTTCATTTCTTTATTCTAGAGTGCTGCGGAAAACACGTTAGTCAGAGCCAGCTGATGTGCTTTCCATGGGTCTCAAGGGCAAAGTTGTTCAAATTAAACATGATCTTAAAGTCACTTTAAAACTTGTTTTGTATTTTTGTAGCTGCTCCTTGGAAGTTCATTAAGCAGGCTGTTCTCTCCATTGGGCTCATGCACTTCTCCTCTCTCAATCAAGGCGGACATGGGGCTGACAGCAGAACTTGGCACATTGCCGTGGTGGTTAACACCTCTTTAGGCTAGGACAGGTTTCTTAAATGCACTGATGTGTACCTTGAATAAGCATGTCCTTCATGAGAATTGGGTCCAGTTCACGTTTGATATTGATATTTTTCTCTTTCGATGTTTAAAGTTGGGATCACCTTGCTCAAATGAAGAGCAGCGTCTGCAGAGGAAGTTGGGGGGGTGCTGCAAATACCAATTTGGCTGTCTTGCGTTATGTTGTGTCACACTACATGGGGATGTGATGCAGCCTAATACCCCCAGGGAGGTCAAAGAAGAAGCGATGGGGTAACTAGAGGACTTGCTTTCAGGAGACGTCATGATTTGTTTTCCTTCAGGAAGAAGAGCTAGGTGTTTGATTTCTTGGTTGTTGTTTGAAAAGGTTTCCCCGAACTGTACACATTAGTACCCTCCTACATCAGCAAAGGCATTCATGCATAATGGCATTTTTATCATCATTGGGATGTTTAGGCAGCCTGCTGCTTCGTGAGCCACCACCCAACCAGCTTATCACCTAGTCGTCATTTGTGCATCCTTGGAGCCAGCAAGGGTGATTACATAGCAAGGTGCTAGACAAGGGCTCTTGCAAACTGGGCTGCAGCTGTGGTAGTATCAGCCCTACAGGGCTAGTCAGTGGAGACTCATTGCCAACATAATGCAAAGAGGCCATCCCTCTTGCTTTTGGCATTGTCATGCCACCACAGAGAGAGAGCAAAGTTGACTCCCCAGCTCCCTTTGCCATATGCCAGCCAAGGCTCTCTCCAGTGGTTTCTCAAGGTTTAATGCAGCAACTACAGAACAGGCCAGTTCAGTTTGATAGAGTGGTTAAAGCAGTAGCAAATGGTCTTATCTGTTACCCCTAACTGTCTTAATCCTGTAAGATTATCATGTAGCACACAACGAAAGGGAAAGTTTAGCATCATGTATTAGAAATATTTGTTGGAGGCTTCATCACACAAGCTAACGATGCCGATTTTGTTTGCTTTGCATTGACTGACCGTCACCCCCCAGCATTGGAAGTCGACATAAGTCACACCCACAACTGCTGCTTCTTCCCACTAACAAATCAACTCTTACCCCCAAATACCTGAGTCCTAATACTCATCGTAGTCAAGTATTATTCTTAGTTTGACGGTGTCATTCTTAGGTGCTTAATTTTCCGTTTCTTCTACTTGCCCCCTTTTCTAATCCCACTGTGTTAGATGAAATTAGGAGCATTAACAGAAAATACATTTACAACATTTTAAAGAACTAGAAGCAGAAGAAAACACCAAAATTTTTGGTTTTGATTAGCAGTTGATTTTTCAGGGATGCATCTCAAACACGACAGGCAAAGCCCTGCTAACCTAACCTCAAAGCAAAGTCTCCTTAAAGTTTCCAGTAGGCAAATGAAGAAAGACTTTGCATTTTTTATTACTTTTTCCTATTTTGAAATGTTTATGTTTTCTTCTTTATTACAGTCTTCCCATGATGGTATCTATGCAAGAGTTGGAGATAAAATGAGACAGATGTACTGACCATGGTTACCAAGGGAGCGGTTTCCTTAGCAATGGTAAGGCAGTTGTCAAAGCAGTCAATGTTCCTTCTCTTTCTCAGATGACTTGTTTTTTCTAGTTTGCATAGCAGCTATTCATAAACACCCTTTGCAAAGTTCCTCCTGCAGGTAAACAAGAGGTTGTCAGGCAATTATTCATGGGATTCGGCTGCTGGTAGAGGCTTCAAGTCAATAGTCACCTGAACTTTTGTGTGTGGTTTGGCCAATATTCAGTTTCTAAACAAAGTAGGAAAAAAAATCAACAAAGTAACCAAAACCCACAAGGAAACTGAAGCTGCTGTGAACTGAAATCCTTTCCCCATGTCTTGGACTTTAGAAGGAAAAATGGCTGCCAAAATAATCCTTACAAACTAGTGCCATAAACAGCTAAAAGAAATGGGTATATCGAGACAAGAACAGACTCTACCGTGATTATAGTCCAGTTGAGTAGGGATCTTAGGCTGCAATATCGTCTTTTATAATACTACATGGTCATTTTTGGCATGAAGAAGAGCCATAGCATAGTGAGCCAGACTGCCAGTACAGAGTTGGATCGCTCAGGGCAGAAGTTGCTAGTTCAACAGCATTTAGCACCTGTCTCTGCCCTTCAGTTTGAATGTCTCGTTTGTGCATGCTTGCTGGGAAATCATATTCAGGATTGGGATTGACTGGGATCACACAGGCCCACTTCTTAATTTTGCACAGAAATCTGGATCCAAGGAAGCACTCGGGTGCAAAATGAGCTCTGGTACTATATCTTTGTGACACAGAACAGGATTTAGCCCATTCCATGTATTGCTCAAACCAGAAACTATAAATCCTTAGAAACAGAATACAGAATTGCAGTTTAATAATGCCAGTTTCCCATTCTGTATTTTTTTTTAAAGTTATTAAAAATAATCAAACTGTGATTCAAAATACGGATCTATACTTTACAAGGCAATGGCAATACTACTGTAGTTGTAGTTGCATGTCAATCCCATCACTAAACCAGGGTTAAGTATCAAGTGTTGGCCCCTTCAGAGGGTCAGGACTGAGAATTCAAGTGCTGCTCTTCTGTGCCCACGCTACCTATCCCTGCCAAGGACTCTCTGTATTTAAAGGATGGCTACCCTCCTAGCTGCCAATATGTTTCCTGGGCCCTTTCCTTGATGCAGACTAAAAGGAGAGATTTTTTTAAATTTTTTTTTTTATCATTCTTAAACATCACACACTGTTTTGGAAAGTGATATCATGTAACCTGGCAACATCCATCAGTGTCACACATCAGGCGAACATTTTGAGAAACATTAATTAGTATAGAAACCACAACTGGCTCGATCTCGTTGAGTTATTGCTCTACGTTTAGAAACACCATCTTCTTGATGTCGCCATTACCAGGGTCCGCTACTGTTGAAGTGCAGTTATTAAAATAGAAATGTTTGCTACCAACCCCCCCTGCAAGAAACATCTGACAATTCAGCTGCTTGTGTGAAGTTAGCATTCTTTCTCCTCAACCTTTGGCTAGAAGTTGTACATACTCCTTTTCCACCACATCCTTATTTACTGCCTACAACTAGCATGAATCTTTTTTGTTCAGGCTGACTGAAATTTAATTAGACAACGATAAAGAGAAGGAAAAAGTGCAGCGTTATGTGCACATGGAATTGTTGATTACTCACATTCTCTCCTGCTCTTTGTAATACAAAGCTCAGTGCCATAGGGTAGGTTACTGAGTATATCTGTTTTCTTCCCAGGGACATTCATTTCATGACTATAATATCCATGCTGCAGTACTTGAGGCAAAGTTGGGAGAGTTTCTTCAGCTCTGTTTACAAACACTTCTAGCTGGAATCTGACAGTCTGAACAGGCAGGCGCTGAACAAGCTGGAAGTGCATTATTAGGTAGAAGTAAAACTAGTGTTGGCCTTTGATATGTGACTCGCATGCCCTTGCTTACAGCACCAGAGCAGGGGGAGGGAAAGGAAGTGAGCGTGGTGCCATCCATGAAGGCTGAAAGCAAACGCATGCCTCATCTGTATTACCAGTAGAGCTGCACATAAGAAAGGAAGCGTGAAATCTTCCCTGCCAAATTCGTCTCTCCCATTTTAAGGTAATTTCATATTCCCAGGTTTCTTCTGGAGCCTTTCAGAGAAGCTGATTTTTTTTTTTTTTTGCACGTGGTAATGCGGAAGGAGCAAAAAGCCATTTTTGAGTGCAACATCGTGGTTGCATAGTGAAATAATGGCCAGCTATGGAGTGCTTCTTTTCTATAGTATTGGAGGGTATCAGTGGAAAAAGCGGATTACTGTCAATAGCTGTGTACTAATACTGCACATCACCCTCCCCACAGGGATGGAAGAGCAAAAGCTAGAAATAAAAAGAAAAGGACAAAGGCAGCAAATCTAGCTAATGGTGGAAGAGGCAAGGGAGTTAAAGCATCCAGGATTTTCAAATGCTGCCCCTTGGCGAGGAAGGAAGCTTGTGATTTTACATGAAGGGCACACGCGTGGTATTGGACCATGGTTACGAGCAATGTGTAGGTACCATTGCAACATGAATGCATGCCAAGATCACCCACAGAGAGGCATGCACGTGCCTGCTTCATCATCCCACAGGAGAAAAGGATAGATGCCTGCTAATAATATGGCACATGCAGCATGCAGTTTTCCAACAGGCAGGTTATCCAGGCTGACCTGGACAGGCTCAGCAAGTGGGCGGACGAGAATCTGATGGTGTTCAACACCGATAAATGCAAGGTTCTCCACCTTGGGGAAAAAAAACCCGCAGCACCCTTATAGGCTCGGCAGTGCTATGTTGGCTAGCACTATGGAAGAAAGAGACTTGGGGGTCATCATTGACCACAAGATGAACATGAGCCTGCAATGCGATGCGGCGGCTAGTAAAGCGACCAAAACGCTGGCTTGCATCCATAGATGCTTCTCAAGCAAATCCCGGGACGTCATTCTCCCCCTGTACTCGGCCTTAGTGAGGCCGCAGCTGGAGTACTGTGTCCAGTTTTGGGCTCCACAATTCAAAAGGGATGTGGAGAAGCTTGAGAGAGTCCAGAGAAGAGCCACGCGCATGATCAGAGGTCAGGGAAGCAGACCCGACGATGACAGGCTGAGAGCCCTGGGGCTCTTTAGCCTGAAAAAGCGCAGGCTCAGGGGTGATCTGATGGCCACCTACAAGTTTATCAGGGGTGACCACCAGCATCTGGGGGAACGTTTGTTCACCAGAGCGCCCCAAGGGATGACGAGGTCGAATGGTCATAAACTACTACAAGACCGTTTCAGGCTGGACATAAGGAAGAATTTCTTTACTGTCCGAGCCCCCCAAAGTCTGGAACAGCCTGCCACCAGAGGTGGTTCAAGCGCCTTCATTGAACACCTTCAAGATGAAACTGGATGCTTATCTTGCTGGGATCCTATGACCCCGGCTGACTTCCTGCCCTTTGGGCGGGGGGCTGGACTCGATGATCTTCCGAGGTCCCTTCCAGCCCTGATGTCTATGAAATCTATGAAATCTATGAAACAGTAGCTGCAATTGCAGGGACAAAAACAGACCACCCTGGCTGTTCTCCAACCCAGACTCCTGCTGCTTGCTTTTAGGCTCTGATTCAGCAAATCACTTAAGCACATAGCTACGTGTGGTTCCCATTAGTAATAACAGGAGCCACGCAGCTAACTCACCTCATATTGCTTTGAAAATATGCCCCCTAAGGTGGCATACCAACCAGCTGCTGTCCATTTCCCATAACTTTTTTACAGCTAAAACTCTCTGAGGCTCTGTAGCCTTCCACTCTCAAGTTTAGGCCATCCCCCTGCCCACACCAAGGCTTTGCTACTGAAACTCTTCTGACCTTGTTTTATACACGAGAATCTTGTACAAACGTTTTGTTTCTTCCGGGAGAGTTGCTGTTCTCCCAAGAGAAATCACAAATGTACAGATATTCAGGCTTTTTTCTCCCAGGGTAAAAATGGCCACTCCAAGAGAAAAATAACTTGGGAACAACCAGGGTTACATCACTCCCAGGAGAGTTTCTCTTGGGAGAGTGAATGTCTACACATGCCCAAAGTGAAAACTCCCAGGCATACTCTTTAAACTTTTCAGTCAATGCTAAGTGGGACTCAACTGTATAAGGATGACAGCATCTTGCATAGGCAGCAGCCAGATTGACAAATGAAAGTTTAATGCAGTAATAACGTACCATAGATGTAAAACTCTCCTTCTCCAGATGAGTGTACCGCAGAGGGTTAAAACAAGGTTTATAATAGGTTACATGAGAATAAATAGAATTAAAGTAATATGAATCATAAGGAAAAATGAGGCTCTTTATAACCACCCATGGAGAGAGAGGTTTAAGTATGGAGTTTCAGCTGAAGGGAACTGTTATCCAACAGCATAAAACTAGGGATCAAATCTTGGTTCCGCTGCAGTCAGTGAGGTTTTTCCAGTGACTTCAGTTTCATCTTAGAGCTACATAAGGATTGCCATTTAATGGATTAGATCATAGGTCCATCTTGCCCAGCATCCTGTGTCACATAGTGGTAAAGAGTGGATGCTGAAAGAGAGTGAACTAGGTCTGACCAGGGTTTTTTCCCACCGTTCCTCTTGCACTTGCAGCCTCCAGCATTCGAGGTCTAGGAAGTTCTGATTCAGAGGCTGTATCCCTAACTCCCATGCTCAGTAGTTACTGAGGCCCTTTTCCTTCCAGAATTTGTCCAGTGCCTTGTTGATTCTGGCTAAACGGTCAGCCTTCACAATATCTGGTGGCAAGGAATTCCACACTTTAATGGCAAGCTGTGTGAAAAAGAACTTCCTTTCATTAGTTTTAAACTTACCACCTACTAGTTTCATTCTGTGACCCCTAGTTCTTGTATTGTGAGAGAGTAAATAATAAATCCTTATTTACTTTCTCTTTACCATTTAGTATTTTGTAAACCCTTATCACGTCCCCCCTCAAACACCAGTTTTCTAAACTGACTAGGCCTCACCTCCTTAGTCTCTCCTCTGATGAAAGCCCCTTCATAGCACTAATCCTCCTTGGTGCCCTTCTCTGTACCTTCTCTAGTTCTTCTATATCCTTGTTGAGGTGTGGGGACCTGGACGTAATATTCAAGGTGTGGACTCACCATCAGTTTATAAAGGGGCATTGTTTTGTTTATAATTGTCTTCTTAATAATCCCTAACATCATTGGTGATGCATAGGGGGTGCACGCAGGTGCATGTGCACCCCCCCTGAGATTGGCAGTGCCACCCCCTGCGATTGGCCTGCGGGCAGATGCTGCTCGCCTCCTCCCCACCACCACTGACACCACTGCCGGTGTCTGTGGGCGGTTGCTGATCGCTGCTGGCCGCCCGTGC